AATTCGTCATCTTCGTATTGTTGTTGCATTGTTTCCCATAGATGATTTTTGATTCTGTCTAGGCGTGTGTTAATATCTATTAACATGTTTTCAATTTTTTCTAATCTATCTTCTTCTACTTTGTTATCATTTTTAATATTACTATTATTATTTCTATTATCTTTTCTAAATGGTTTATTTTTAGCAACCTCTGCGTATGTTTTATCACCTATCTGTTTGTTAATGGTATTATAGAATCTTGGGTTGAATTATTTATAAATCGATCCGAATTTATCTAATCTATCTACATTTTTCTCTTTAATTTCGTTATCTTTTAATTTTTGTGAACAGTCAATAACCAAATGGTCTGTAGTATGATAACGGTGACACGTTTTGATTTGTATATCAACATTCTAATATTGAATTCTCCAAATTTCCAAGAAACATTTAATGAGTTTCTACATATTTCGTGATCTTCAAACGAGACAATTGCTTCATTTTTCCGTCTATATGTTCTTGTTCTTGGGATATAACATGTTCTTGCTCCAATTTTTTTTACATGGGGCCATAACTCACGTGCTGTTATACCATTGGGTAGACTGATAATTCTGGTTGCATGTTCTCCTCTAGATTTGAGATTATCAGCTATTTGATCTATTTGTGTAACCTTCAGGAAGTCTTCTCCAATTATAATACTCTATTTTTCCATGACTTTTTTTGCATCTTCTTTTTCTTTAAAAATAGCAACTGCAGATTGTCACATATTATTAACTCTCATAGTTAGTCTTTCTATTTCACCATATTTATTTTCTAGGTCTTCTTTGAGCTCTTTGTTTTTCATTCCCAACGGCACGTTCCACAGTTTCACACTATGCATTAGCTCCTTAACTAGGTTTCTTCTGAAAATTTCAGCCTTATGCATGTAGGTAGGCTTTCCTGCATTTCCTCCCACATCGTATTACTTGCTCTTTTCCATTTCTTCTTCATTATCGTATAATGCAGAAATCATTCTATTGTCCTTGAATACTTTAGTTTTTACCAGGACAACTGCTGTTTCTTTTTTAAAATTTTTCTAACTTTTCTACTTTTTCACTGATATTTTTTTCCATGATTTTTCTTGCGTAGGTTCAGATTTTATATTTTTTTGCGTTGAAGTTACTGCGCCATTCGGACTGGTAGTCATTTTCTGTTTGATATGAGTCGATTGATTCAGTTTTTTCTTTTTCTTCGTTATTTTCTTTATTGTTATTTTTATTGATACTTTCATATTTTGTTTTTCCTTTATTATTAGTTACTCTTCTCCACCCTTGGTCATTATTTTCTTCCCCATTTACACTATCTTCTTGTAATTCGTTATTTCTACTTTCGATTTCTTCCATAACTTCTGTGTTTGTATTGACGTTATCTTCTATTATTTTTTCATTTGTTAATATTACTAT